GCGCCGGAAAAATATGTACCGCAAAGATTTTCTTCAGTATTTGGAATGTGTCTTATTTTCAATTGCAGTACCTAGGTATAAATACAAACACGAGTTGCACGTAATTAACAACAAATAATTGAGTGCTAACAAACGTTTCATATTTTCAGGCGGAAGAATTGTAGTTCGTTTCAACAATAACTGTAGGACAAAAAAGTGGAAAAAAATTCCTGATAAAATCAATAACACTATTTTTCACATGATACATTATTTTTTATAAAAATATGCTAAGTTGCATTGAATCTGAGTTCGGGCTTTAAATGTTTGCATTTTTCCAATAGGGAAATGCATTGGAAATTGCAAATTCATCCATATTTTATTCTAGGTACATCTATTCTGTTCCACCACAGATCAAAGAACAGTATTTGCAACTGGAGTTCCACTAGTTAATAAAATAGACAATCAACCAAGAGAACAAAAAATCTATCCACGTAAACTCTGCAAAAATGTCGTATAATAAAGGATTACATATTTATATTACCGCAGTTATTGCATTGCGTGATGAAATTAGAAACTAATTAAAATGGGCGAAAATAAAATATCCTGATTTCAGCAATTTTTAGTCTGCAAATTTTATCCTTAACGAAGAATAACAAATTTCAAAAGCTTTTTCTATGTTATTTAGGAAACACGTCTAATATATAAACCAAAAAAGAGCTTTAATATAAATATTTTCCGTCACTAAAGTTTGCAAAATCAAAGCGATTTCCATAATATTTATATTTTAGAACCTTAATATTGTTTTTGCCAGTTCAATTTTCTTGAATTTCGAAGTGAACATTTCTATGTTTGCAAAATTGGTCAAAAATATCTCTTTTTAAAGCGCTTATTAACGGCAATAGTTAAAATTCCTCTACTGGAACAAAGCAATTAAGCTCGTTGACATGATTTATTTAAAAAATATATAGTCAAACAGTAAATGAATATCTGAAATATTTCTTACTTGCAAACAGTCTGGCCAATACAACTGGCCTTTTATGTTTTTCGCAAACATTTCCATTCAATCTATTTGCGGCCAGTTAAATTGAACGGCATGGCATATCTTCAAAGTCAATGATCTAGCAAAATATCACAAATTAGCCGGCTGTCCAGGCAACGTTTAAAAGGCAATATTTTTTGCTGAAAAAAGCAGGTGCGATTTAGTTCAGTTTTTTTATTCATAAATCTGACAACGAATCGCTTAATTTGTCGACAAAATTTCCTTTATGGATTTTCTAGAGGAATGTTCGAATTAGTATCTAAATCGCGCTTATTTTCCGTCACTGCCGGTGCCAAAAATACACAGTCACTTGCCATATATCTCCCTAATGAATTTTGGAAAATATTAGTCCCGTCATCTTAAGCAATGTTTATTTGTGGGCTCATGTAAGTTATTAGAGCTTTTTAACTTGCTGCGGATGTACACGAAAGCGAATCGTTTTTATTTAGCATGTAGATGATCTGCATGTTAATTAGTAATGTTCATGGGGTTATTCAGCACAATTTTCAGTTTCAATTTTCACTTTCAACGAAAGAGGAGCAATCGATGTTAGGCAAGACTGGAAAAGGTGCTATCAAAATAACTCCACGAAAACAAGCTTCCTAGAGTTGTAACAGAAGTGTGTTGACGGATTTAATAGCGTGTTGTCATATTTATTACCACGAACAAGATAATATATTGACGAGTTTAAAAATACGACGTCCTAAATTAGTTGAGAAAACTGCTTTATTAATTTTAAGTGTTAAAAATGTATTGCTCCTCCATTTCAACTGTCTCTCTCAACCCAAACTGATAAAATTGCCATCCGAAAAAAAGCTTAAACAAGGTATGTTCAAGTTTCCATTTGATCTAAATGCAGCACCACCACCATTTAAAAAACATATAACGACGGCCATTCGAAGTTGCCAGAAAAACGCGTTGATGATTTCTCATAACAACACTGCTAATTCTTTCCAGCAAGTAAATATTCTCCCCGTAAAGCGTTCTGTTTCGACAAGAGAATAAAAATTTGCATTGCAATATCTACCGAGTAAAATAGAGTTGTCATTTTGAATTATGTGACTACATACGGCCGGCAAATACATTACTTAGCCTGCCAAGAAACTTACACAGTGAAATAAATACATAAATAAATAAATATTTGCATGCATGTGTAAAGTTCACGGGTTAGATTCTAATCTTCTTGCGGTTTCTTTGGCTTGCCCCCTTTTGTTTGCCACTTCACAAACCTTGGAATTGTTAGATTGCTGAATATATGGCTGTGCTATAGATGGTTCGGCTTCATGTTGTAAATACGCTACTCACAATGCACACACCTCACAACAGATTCGGTTTCCTATAAAAGATGCAACAGAGATTACGGAAAGCAGGATCGACAATTAATGGCAAGTGTACATTGAAAAGATGAAATTTAGTTAGATAACCATGAATGAATGCTATATAGTTTCAAATTTTAAATGCTCTAGATGAAAGCTAAATATTTAATATACTGACGCAAACTAGAAGTTTCGGTTTGGGTTGGGACAGAAAATAATGCCTGCAATCGGGTTTTAAGGGGCAGCAATTGGTTCGACGAAATCAAGTAAACGAGCTTCAATCTGTTCAGAAATATTAATTAGGCAAATAGCCCGTCTTAATTTAAGCTGCCCCGATTAAGGATCAAATTCACAGAATGCTTATTCTATTAATTTTTATAATTTTTTCATAGTAAAACCTTAAAATTCTAGACCGTCAAACGCAAATGGACAAAACATTTATCAAAAAGGGAAAACATATAAATAACACTTTCTTCGAGGATACTAGCTCTTGTTACTCACGCCGAATTTTGCTTTAGTTTCGGCAAACCAGAAACAAAAGTTTAAAATTACTATGGAGAATTAACCAAAAATCATGCTACATACTTAGTCACATTTGATGAAGGCACATTTTTCGTTGTTCTAAATATGGACATGTCAGCACAATATCATATAACATTCACGCGAAATAATTCATGGACAATAAATGTACTCAACAGCTATGACCACACTAATTTTAAAGCGGTTCTCTCCATTCATCAAAGTGTGGCGTCTAACAAAGTGCACGAGCATAGAATCGGTTGACATTGGAGTATTTTTGGTTTTTTCCTTCAAGAAAGCGAAATTTATGTCCTACTGTTCGGCTAGTGGATTTGCTATGGTTAGACTGCGCTAATCGCACCTATTTCAAAAGTTAGCGAATAAAGTGATGCTGGTTTTGTAAAAGAAAAACGACCTTCACCCAGTAACTGGTCTATATATCTTCCAAACTTACCTGTTCTTAATTGTGACTAACACAATAAGAACCAGATAATTTTACCCCATACCTGTAGATATAGCAACTACAAAAAAACGCCGCTCTTTAGCTTTTTTTAAGAAGAGAAAGCTTGGGTCTTCACCATTGAAAGAATGTTCTTCGAATAATAAAAAGGACTGGTAGAGGGAACAACCGTTAAATAATTGACGATTTCTGGCACTGACTGCTAGTTCACGGTGTTTTAGGGTATAGTCTGATCGAGTTCAATCGAGTTGAATCGAGTCGAAGTGAAGCTACTGAAAAATCCGTTCGCAATGGATAATTGCAGTGAGTGTTAATTGAAAAAAACAAGCTTGCAGTGGACGCAAGGGTAAAGAACCGCTTTTATATTAAGGGTTTTTTACTAGTTGAGCTAAGCTGCTAATAAGAGTAAGTTTCATACCAAAAACTAGTTCCTAGATGTAAACCACACATTGAATGAAAAGCTGATCATCGTCAATCTGCTTTTTGCGTGACGCAAGACATTTACACTGTCTCGATTTTATCTAGCAACGTTTAATTCAATTTAACCACTCATATTAGGAGTAAACAACCGATCTACCATATAATTAAAGTACCATAAGAGGCGTCACACATCGCATTATACAATCAGCTTTAATAACATTATTTCATTAAAATTCATATAAATGTAAGCAGGCTCCAGTCTTACCAGTTTACTTGTATTTACGACTTTGATACTGTAACAGTCACCAATAAATTGGCTGTATCGTTATTTAAAGAGGATCAAGTTCAGATCTTACTTTAGATTAGCAGTATTCCGTAATTATTCATGCTTTCATTAAGACGCCGTTCATACTGTATAAAAGAACTCGTGGTTGCCATTGAGACTCGTTTAGTTATGATGAATTGCAATTTGCAAGATTTTGTTTAATGATTTAACGGTCGTAGCGTATCACTACATACATTTTGTGGTTCATCAAAATTTGTCAAAATGTTTAGCCATAGTTTAATATAGCAATTTTTAAACACAGCAATTCCGGCATTTTTCATGTTTGAAGTACGAATTGCTTTAAAGATGCGTCAGGACTTCAAATTCAGACACGACAATCCTCAATTTCAACAGTTTTGCCTCAATACTGAACAACGAAGAATCTCAAACTACACTCAACACATTTTCTGTGCAAAGATCTATGAGACCGAGAGTTAATAGAATTTACTCCGAATATAAGTTTTCTGATTAAAATCCCATTAAAATTAGAGATTCAATCAATGAATATCGATTATTGCGACCGAAGAATAAATTGATTAAGCCGACAATATTTACGCGACGTAAATGGCACATAAACTGGGAAACGGCATATAAAAATCATCCAGAATAAAGTGCGAATGTGGTGCCTGTAGAGAGAGTGTAGCCATCGAAAAGATAAAACGACCCAAAATGAACACTCGTGCACTCATCGGGGACCGGTTGAAATCTCCGCTGGGGAGATTTGGCGAAACAACTTTATTATTGCTTCTGTAAACGATGCTAAAATAATACTAAAATAATGCTAATGTAGATGGTACGCACTTATAGGATCTGCATAAGAGAGAATAATGCTGGACTCCGTTTCGTTGCATCGGTTCAATTTCTACTTACAGGCACCAAAAGCAACGAGCGGAAGTAGGAAAAAGGCAGGCCACATATAAAACAACTAATTAGATCACTCACCTTTGTAATATCCTGAAAATAAACAAAAATATATGTTAGAAACATTCAAAGCGAAGCAAACTTAAAATTAGAAGCATGCAAAACGAAAGGTAGCATAAAGCACACGAGGAATACAAATTGTTAAAAAGCGGAAACCGTTTGTTAAAATACAAATGAATGGTGTGGATTATAAGTATTGCAAGTTGTGTACTTGTTGAATTAGAATAGCACCAGGCGAAAGAAAGTAAACATGTAAGAAAATAATCATGACAAGTCAAAAATGCCGTTTACCTACGAGATTTACGACCTTCTATTAAATCAAAAAGCAGTTCTGGTGCTTTTGCAATGTTCACATGAACACACATAAAGCAGGATTTATATCAGCTAGTTATAAATAAAAATGCAATCTATATTTATGTGATCAAGCCAGTTTTTTTTATGTGATGCAAACATTTTCCTAGAGAGCTGAAGAACAATATGCTGTATTTGCTACAAGTGACCGATTCTGCTGGAAAAGTTATTGAAAACAAATTCTTGCCGTTCACTTATCTTAGCAACTTAGGATCTAGGCCCAGGCTAAGTAATTATCAGTTATAAACTAAGGTCAATTCATATCAGTTTCAGACAGCAACCGTGCAATTTGAAAATCCCAATAATCGAACAGTTAGCTGTTTCATGTTATTGCTTGTACTCGATCTAAAAGCGCTTAACTGCTGAAATTCAATCTGGTTTAATATTGCTTACATGTCTGAGAACAATATGTACAATGATAATATGGGATCTACTTACAGGTACACCGGAATTTATTCTGATAGCATTGAGTATTTTGTTACAGTATTACGGCTTCTCGAATTTTCTGTGATAGATTCATATCTAGTATTTTCTATTGCTTCATAAATGGAATTTATTACTAAATGAGTTACTATTTTCAACAAATAACATAAAAATAATTAGTTTTCGTAAAAAAGTTATTTATTTCCCCAGCAAAGCCGAAAGGAAATGACAATAATGAATTCATCTAATTTAAATTTGCTCGGACCCGAGCACAGGGGAAAATAAACGTCCATCTAAACGAAAAAAAGCCATGATGCATGTTTGGGATAAAAAGATTAACATGGCAGAAGTGTAAGGCGTCTGCTTAAAGTCCAATAAATAACTGAGTCTGTGACAGACTTTAATTACTGAATCAAACGTGCATAGTTTCTCGGGCAGTTGTTAAGGACAATTTCAATTAATTTGCATTCGATATCCTCCTTTTATTCAGGTTGACGCAAATTTAAAGTGCGCCAAATGTATGCGCGAACACAGCCTTGAATAAATTGATAAACTTGGAATCGAGGCGTTTTACAGGGCCGGAAGCCACCCAAAGCATCCAAGAGATAGAGTTGAAAAATCCAGAAAAGTCACCGGTTTTAATTAATTTTTCATTAATAATTAGTTCTTTCCACGAAGAACTCAATATAAGCTGATGATTATTTAACTTTGGCCCCAGTTTGTTTTCAAACAGTGTCTCAAATTTAGTGATTCGACTACAACATGTAGCAATATTGTTTAAAAAAGTATCTAATTAATATTTTTAATGTAGGTTGGGCCAACGTGACAAAAACTAGTATGTGACCAAACAGTTTTGTTAATTATTTAAGCCTGTGAGTCTTTTATCGAGCACCAAAGACAGAAACACTCATTACGGCAGAATGTATTAAAAATTCCCAGTGTGGAATTGCATTTTTGCGATGTAGAATATAAAGTCTGGAAATCCAGTCCTGTATAAATTGAAAATCGGGAGATACACGCGTGGCTTCAGCTGGTTCTCTAAAGGTATGCAAATGCGGAATCGGTAGCTGCTTTAATCTTGATCTAGGGGAGAGAATGGTCGTAAACATGCCTAGTTGCTCTTTTCGCGAAATTTCTTAGTCACATTAACCTATGCACCCCTGCAAGGAAATAATTCCTCACCAACAATCAGATGTTTACCGGGAGAAATAAAGGGAAATGCCCAGAAACGAATTAGACGAGATCCTCTGTTCTTATCAGGAAACATTTTAACAGTCAAGTACTCTAAGCAAACGACCAAAAATTCAAACTTACATCAAAATTAACGCCACATTAGACGTGCTATCAATATAAAGCGGATACCAAAATAAAAGTAAAGTTCGGTGTATTGATCATTCTGAACTGAAAGCGACTTTCTGAAACATAACCCGGAATTCAGCATAATAAAGATTTCAGAGACCGTTCAGTTTGAACTAGCAATCCGTTTCCATAAAAGTGTTCGTTCCTCTATATATTTCAACTACACAAGAAACTCAACATTCTAGGAAAATTTATTAGTATAATTTTCGCGGAAGTTTCCCGATGGAAGAAAGAAAACTTGTGGAACAGAAACCGAGTGCAATTTTGAAATAAAACGGTGGCTACAGTTTGGTGATTTGTTGAAATTTAACTTAAATGTGGCGGCATAGTCAATAATGAGAAGGAATTGCGAAAGTGCTTAACAGTTGATATGGTTTCAAGTTTCAACTATTTCCGATCTGGTTGACTAAATTGACACATTAAACAATTCCTTTCGAAAAATTGTGTATTTAAACAGTTTAAGCATACAAGTTAAATGGGGTTGACTTTTTGTTAATATGCCGTTTTTCATCGAGTGAAAAGTTAAAAAATTAGTTTCTAATGTAGGTGATATGTACATTTGTATTAAAAATCTACTGTACAAATTCTTATCACAGATTCCTGGGGATAAAACATGATGATGTATCCGAATTTGTCTATTCCAGAAGTGAACGATGTTTGAAATGCAGGGCACCAATTGCCTCGATTTTTTACTGTTAACTTTGACGCCTTGTACTTCGATAACCGTTCGTTTTTGCAGTAGACAAATTAGCTTAGATCATTATGTTTTAACAGAGGGAATGTAGTAAAATTTTGTACACATATTTTACCGACACCCTTTATAAACATTTTCAATCGTTCTTAACTGTTAAGGTTTACATTGGGATCAGCCTTCGTGCCCTTTTCAGTTCTGCACATTTTTTTTTCAAAAAAAACTGCTTGCCTAAGTATATCAAACCAGGAAATTTCCGAATTTAAATTTCGCATTCAAAGCTTGTACACGGTTGAATACTTGACTCGCATTTAGTTATCACTGCTTTGGTTGTATTACATAATATAAATGGGGAATTTGGCTAATATCAATAAGAGTTCTATGCCCGGAGTTCCATTCTTAAGTGAAATTCTCTCCTGTTCCCTATTTTTTATGGACAGCCGAAACTAGATCCTGTTCTTCTGCTAAAAAGCTTGCTTTAATGAATGTTATTACTTAACAAATTACTTTTCTGGTTTCGAATGTCAGTTGGCAATTGTCTTGACCAAACTTTCTCAAACTAATGTACGTCGTACGTATTCTTCAATGCATTTTTGTGTCGCTTCTATATTCTTAAATGTGGTTTTCAATGTTCCCTATTAATTTATTCAGTTAGTTCATGGCGATTCTCAACCAGTAATTTCCCAGCTCTTTTCCCTACTTTCTCTCACTTGTCACGTTCATAAGAAAGAACCCCACACTTCATTCGTAGAAACTGTAAACATTATGCACCGGAATTGACAATGCGTAGGTACTTGAGGCAGTTAAGCATGTGGCCACCGACTTCAATAAATTTCCAATTTTCAAACTCAATCTATTTAATTACTCTTTAGCACTGTGAATGTGCTGTTGTTTATTGCCATTATTAATATGGAAAAATTGAATCCATTGGGTTAATCTTTGTATAAACTTCTCTATTTTAACATCACATAGCCAACAGAAAGGCTGGTCGTTTCTGTTAGGAAAGGCAAATTCTTGAAGGATTGAATAAACATCCCTTACAGTACCTACTTGCAGCAATCTGTTGCTGAAGCATCATAAAACAGTAAAATAATTAGTTTGACGAGAGTGAAGCACCTTGAAGGCCAGTTGTAAAGCAAATCTTCGATCACCTAAAGCCTGAAGCTCGCTTATTTTACTTGAAGCTTGGCGTCGTAACAACAAACACTGTTCAAATTAGCGTGAAGCCTCCAGTATTCTAATTTGCAACATTGATGCTGTTGGAAATAATTGACAAGTAGTTGGGACAGACATAAACAATACAACTTTGTGGCTAACGATAATTGTGGGAGTGTATTGACCGACAAAAGTGTTAGAAGCGAAGCACTGGCAAAATGGCCGCTGGCCTTGTAATTATTTTCTTTGCTGCAAGTGATTAACTCGTTAGTTGATTTATGTGTATGGCAGCCTTATTTACGACCGAACCGATCTGACATGTTGCATGCATGTAGGCAGAAAGCACGGTCTCAACGTTGCATGTTAATCGCGAATAGAGTCGAGCTTTTTAAAAAAGCGCACGTTTATAAGTATTCTTTTCCTCTATGTCAATTCGAGGGTTTATTGCTTTTATTGGCTGGCTGAATTGGTGATTTAATAGGACAATAAATTTCCGGCAATATTGAATTTTGATTGTATGGTAGGCAAACAAGATGAACGGGCATAAAAGGTGAACACGGGGCCCCATTTCGTGGCAAGTAATTGCAGGATGCTGAAGAAATTAATCTTGAAAACCGACGCTACTGCTGCCATGGCGGAATATCTCACGACAACCGAAAACCAAAATAAAGCTAAATGAAAAGACAAAGAAACTTCTAGTTGAGGCAATATTTTTGTAGCGCTCGCGTCGTCTGTCCTCATTCGTCTCCAGTTATCTGCGACCTCGGGGCGCAAAAAGTGCCGTTTCTAGAAAAGACAAAGGATGTGACACTCCAATTTCCATTTTAGATCGAAATTCTTCACCCCTTCGCTGCTTTATCGCTCCCTCCCAGCCGAAATCATAAATTGCCAGGGAAACTTAATTGCCTTGATAAAGATGCGCCCGCGTTTGACAAAAAGCCTTATTTGTGTTGTTCGGATGTGGCTAAAAGGAAGCTCCGTTACCAATTTCTTCGAATCGATGAGAATTACTTTTGCGGTTTATGGGTCAGATAAATAACCAATTAATTCATTC